CGGGGAAACTTAGAAAGAAAAGGGGAAAAAATAGCCTGTCATCGATATTTGGTGGCTTTATACACTGCTATTTCACACCGCATGAATGGAAATCATGTTTTTGTTTCACTGTTGGGACAAATATGTCCCGCAAAATTCTATCAAGGAAATAAATATTTTCGGTATTAAATTTTCAAAATATAAGGGGAGAAAAGCTGCAAAATCTTTGAACTTAAGAAAATCTTTTTGTAGTTTTATTTTTCAATATATATCACTGAAAAATAAACATTCGGGCTAAGATTCAAACTAGGGAAAAATATAAAAAAAAAACTATACTGAAAGCGAACAAAAAATGCTTAAATTTTGTTGGCTAATTGCTCATCAAAATCAATGTTAGGGACTAAAAAACTATTCGGCGTAACTTAATTTGTATTGTTACCGATTGTTTCATTGTAATAGAGTTTTCTAAGCACTGTTATAAGCATTCTTTAAAAACTCCTCCCCAATTATCCAAGCGATAAAAAATGATAAAAAGCGAAAGTGAAAAATGATGAGATAATTCAATAAACGCCTCCCCAGCCCCACCGCCGTCCCTTCGCCCCGTGAGAAACACTCGTTTGTAACCCAGACGAAAACTAAAAATCTTAGTTTATTGAACGCGGGAGAGAATTTAATACAAAATTATTTTCTCTTATATACTTAATGATAAAAAGCGATTCCCAAAGATTTCTTTTGCGTTCGTTTTTTCCCTTGACTTTTTAGTATATATTTTTTGCCTTGGGTATCGTACAGCTTATCTTCTATGGTCGAAATAAGAAGCAATAGCAGCGAGGAAGGGGGCAAATCGACCATTTTCACTAATACGCCATGGCTGGAGCACACCAGGTTCCCCATGGGTCGGATTAAAGCCGTTATCAATTCCGAGCACGTTGCTGTGAGTGGGAAAAGCGGTATATATCGTCAGTTTCCAGGTTACCAAAACAGACTGATGCTTTCGCTCATCCCAAAAGAGCGATGAAAACTTCATTGGTTCAGGGGGGACGCTCATTTAGCTTGGGCCGGCTTCTTCTTCAACGCAATCTTCCGTCGACATTTTTGTTTGGTTACGGATAATGAAACGTGTATAAACAAGCTCCTTCCACACGGCAATTGTTTTGAATAGATACGCCACCAACTGCTAGGCGCACAAAGTTAATGGCGGAAAATATTCGTATCTTGTACAGGAAGGAATATTCGCCCCAAATCGTTTGCAGAGCTCTTTCTCTTCCTTGCGGGTAATGGGTCTCTCTGGTTTCGGTCTGTCGGGAAAACAGGCAGAAGTATTTAGTATGGCACTCCTATAGATTCAGGACTGTTGATTGATTTTCCTCCCAAGTTTCGACACTTTTTACTGCCTTTGCTAAATACCTTTAAAATAGTCATACTTTAAGGTAGAAAAGTTGACAGTCTTCAATTCAACAAGTGTAAGTTCTTTAGATTTAAATTATATAGGTAGATTGAAGTCTTTTCATTCACAACGTTGACAACATTTCATTCTTCAAGTTATCTTTTGATCCTTCAGGATATAAGAAATAGTAATATAAGAACAGGTTATTAATACGGCTGAAAAGCATACAATTTTTCTTACAAACCAGCTTAAGGTTTAGATTTTGGACTCTAGTCCTCTTATATTAAGTATAATAACAAATCATTACTTGAGTAATATTTGAACTAACAATAAGCGCGCATTTAGCCGAATCCATATCAATGTAGAAGCTCACTTAATTTAAGATAACATTATGAAATAATTGAAATTTTAAATTACGCATCAAATTTTCATGAGAAATTAAAATTATTTCTTTTATTTACATATAAGCTGTTACAATATACTTCAATTCCTATGATGAAACGGATTAATTACACGAAAAAGCAAAACGTTTTTCAGTAAAGTATACATTTGATGCATCCCTATATTGAAAACTTAAAATGAAGCTTATGAGGTCGACTTCCAATGTGTATGTGACTGCTTTGAAGCATTTTCACAGGTTAATCAAAAATTAACTACCGGTCTAGTTTAATTCATTTTACAAATACAACAATTTAAAAATTTCCTAATCAGTGCAAAAAAATAAACAAGATTTTTAATATTAAAAAAAGAGAGTATGCGGTTCAAAACAAATTATTGATTTCAAAATATCCATAATAATAAAAATAACTATTTCCAAATTACGCAGTATTTTAATATGACAAGAAATGCATGACATAATAAGGCGAGAAATCAGTGGTTGTTGAAATAGAGTGTGACAGACTTCACTGAGTACAAAGATTGGCCTCCCAGCCCATCCACTGGACTATAAATTGCGGTTAGTATTGGAGGCAAAAGTGTGCCAAAAACGGCATCCTCATTTGAACAGTCTTAAATACTCCATAAGCATAGTCTGGGCTTCAATGAGATGGTTGGTGAAAGCGACTTAAAGCCTATGAAGTCAAAAAGTAATTTTAAAATAAAATTGCTACACGTCAAAATTAAATTTTAAGAATAATAAGTTTTAATGTTTAAGATAATAAGTAATTAATGTTTTTCCTTAAAAACCATTATAATTTCATTTACTTCTTTTTCAGTAGCCAATACCAATACTAAAGAAAGTAATATATTTCCCCAGCACTTATTTTTAAAAATATTTATATATTTTTACATTAATAAAAACAGTTAATATGTGCATTTATTTTAAATCTCTAAATTATATATTCATTTATAATTAACGGTACTATCTACTTTACGTTAGTTTTAACTTATAAAAGCTCCTAATACAATGGTTCTCAAACTTTAAATATTTGCGACCCAATGTTCAATCATAATTTTCATCGCGCCCCCCTCCATACATAACAATGTATTGAATTCAACAATACTATACTTTGATGCTAAAACTACAATAGGCTTTAAACCTTTTAAGTGCCACCCACGTATATAAACGTCTCGCTCTGCTAAAATATTATTTTCCCCGAACATATATATACGTCTGTCAAAAACACGATCTTTCCTGTGCACTGCTATCCATAAAACTATTCCGAAGGCTTTGGAATGCAATAAAAGAACAGCGTTTGCAAAGAATGCAGTTATTTCAGAGGATTTGCTTATTTTTTCTTTTTCTCCCTCCCCCCAATAAATCACATAAGCACGCCTACGTTGAAAATAGTGGCATTGGGGAATGAATCGCTTAACTTTTAATTGGCAGTTAAGGGATTAATTATAAGCCATACAAAAATTATCCAGATAAGTATTAATTTTTGTACATAGTTTTATATATGACACTGGTAATTATTATACTTGTTCTTAACTTAGTATTGTTAAATTAATTATAAAATACATTGTGCAGTACTGATACTTTTATAAGTGTATTATATCAGTGTAAATGTGTATTTTATTTTTTATTATGTCAGAATGTATTTTTTGTTTGTTTTACTTTCAGTAAATTAGTAATTTTTTTAAAGCTTTTGTTTTCGACATTTCAATATGCTCGTGCCCCCTTCATAGAGTTTTCACGCCCCCTTAGGGTGGCGCGCCCCACAATTTGAGAAACGCTTTCCTAATATTTAAATTTTAGTATCTCAGAAAAAAAATTAACAAAAAAATATATTACGTACGTATGTTTAAAATATATTATAAGTTTCAATGCAAGCAATCAAAAGTAAGTCTCCTAAATGGAATAATTTAAAAGGAACCATTGCTAAATTGTCAATCAGAGAAGTCGTAAATTTCGTAATCTAAATAACTTAATTTTTAAGCACTACATATAACCTAAGTTCACTCGACTTTAAAGTTTATCATCCTAAAATCCTCTTTAACATTGAAAGAGTAATCTTTGTTGTTACGGATACAACTTTTTCTCGTATTTTAAATTGTTGGTTCTAAGCAAAGAGAGAATTCTCTAGAGGTTCTTTTGTGGCTTTTCTTTACCTGTCTTTCTCAATCTAAGTAAAGTTTGCGAGAAAGAAACTGCTGAATTCTAGAATAAATTTATACTTTGAAAACAAGATAAAATGGAATATTTATTGTAAAATGTCCACTGATAAAAAAAATTAAAGTATGTATAATTTTTTTTATATTAAGAATACACGAATATAAGATAAAATGTCTTGATCATATTGAAAAACAAATAAAAAATTACAATTTAAAACTTATTCTTTTGCATTCTTCCTTTAATGTAACATTTTGTCTTAAGTCCAGTAGCATTTATACATATATTACAAATTCAACAATCACTCAAAAATTAAACAAAATATCAGAATGAATATGTAAAAAAATAGTCAGTACATAGAAACAAAATTTAAAAAAAAAGGAACCCAGAAAATAAAAAAGTAATTTCACACTTAAGATTGAAAAAGTTGGGTTAAATTAGTTAAATGTGATTACATAGAGTAAAATCTTCAAAATAAATTATTTAGAAGTTAACCAATTTAAGGTTTGCAAACTAGCACAGATATATAAAGAAATGGTTTTGAAAAAAAGGTTCTCACAGCTAAATAAAAATAAATAAATAAAAGAAGAAAAAATTAAAGCATATAAATTAATTTAAAATAAATATCCTATTAAAAAGGTTTCTGAAATTGGTAAAATACTGATCTACGTACCCTATTTTGTAGCTGAGAAGAATTCACAGTAGAGAATATGAAAAAAATAAAAGTATTCCTTAAAACATATTTTAAAGTACAATATTTAGGAAATGAAAAAAATATATATATTCTAAACATTATTGAAATTGTTTTTCAAGGAGAATGTACATTTTTTAAAATATAAAAGCCTGAGACAAATAATATATTTAAATAATTATCAAAATAATATAAATGCTAGTAATATATCGATGATTATGGATAATTTTGTTCTCGTCGTATATTTTATCTTGGGATACATATGAAACACGGTAAAACACAAACACAGAAGAACAGACTTTTTATTACAAACAATGATCTCAGCAAAAAGCAGAAGGGGTGCGCTGCTTTCCATTCGAGACGGGAATCCATTGAAGCGAAAGATATATTCAAGCCTTACTCGGGATTCGAACCCAAGTCCACTCGGTTACAAGCCAAAGGTCATATCCACCCTACTGGCTGGGAGACATTATGTATAATACTTAATAGTATAACTAAAGTATAGTTACATTAAATTGGACTACTTAATACAAATGCACGATATAAGAAAATTAGTAGGATAGCCCCGGTATAAAATATATCTTATAAATTTTTAGAGCATTTAATTTTACCAAAATCTTTATTAACTACATAAAGATTACGCAGAAAGCAGGCAGAATTAAGAAATGTATTCTTATTTGTCCCTTTCTTGTTCTAACGCGCAATCAATCTCTGATGAATGTATATATATTATACATATATACACAAACATACACACACACACACATACACACGCATATATATATATATATATGAAATGAACACTGTATACCAATAAGTAATTGGACACCTGTGATAAAAGAAATAAGCAAAATTTACTCATGTTCAATAAAGAGTAGACTCTACACCTTACAACCTTAACACATCGTGGCGTGCTTTCCACAAGTTTTTTGATGATGAACAGTAATATTTCCTTCCATTCGGCTTGGAAAAGACACTGATTTTGTTACACACCTTAATTCAGTGATCCAACTCGTCTCAAGGGTTTTCTCTGTGATTCAACTCTGGATTCTATAAATAACAGTCCAGAACCCTATTGTTATCCCATCAATCCCTGGTGAACCTTGCAACATGACAAGTGGTGTAAGTAACAATGTGTGTGTGTGTATTGATCCAACCCGTAAAATTGTCTCAGTAAGCACATTGTTGTCTATAAAAGAGCAGTAAGGTATCCGACTACGTTCGGAACCGTGATTTTGTAAAAGTGTGTAAACAGATAATATTTATGATATTTAGTGTCACTTAGATTAGAATACATGTATAAAATTATTTTAAGGACATTATGACCAAAAAAAATTATTTAAATACAATATTTTGGCAAAAAATTAACTTAAAATAATCTTTTGTCCAAATGTTCTCCTTTTGTAAAAAATGCATTATTGTATTAATATTTTGCCAGTAATCAGCTCAGACCTCTATACAGAGGCTCAACTAGAATTTTTGAAACGCATAACTTGGAAGTCGGTTTATCCATGTTTTACGAAAACAGAAGGGAGAAATTTTAAGAAAATATGCCAATAATTATTTCAAATGGTTGTAACTCTGAAAATAATTTGAATTTTTCAAAACTCATAGTTGAGCCTCTGTACAGAGGTCTGAGCTATATACAGGCAAAATATTAATATAATAGAAGCATTTTTTACAAAAGGAGAACATTTGGAAAAAAGGTTATTCTAAGTTAATTTTTTGCCAAAATATTATATTTAAATAATTTTTTTTTGTCATAATGTCCTTAAAACAATTTTATACATATATTCTAATCTAAGTGACACTAAATATCATGAAAACTATACATTTATGCTCTTTTTAAAATTATAGTTCCGCCTGTAGTCGGATACCTTAAAGATTTAAAAAAAAAAGAAAGAAATGCGAGCCTTACAGTAGTCGCATATGATGTGTAACATCTGACATGTTGTCGTGGTAAATACGCAATAGTAACTTATATCCTGAAAAAAATGAATCGAGTATGATTCGAAATAATTTTCCATCGAATAACTATATCTTTAATAAAAATTTTATTTAATTAACACGAGGAGTAATGCAATTTTTTATCAAAATAATTATTCTTGTACAATTTAAAGAAGAGCGGAGATAATAAGAGAGATAAAAGCCGTGACATGTATTGCAGGTGGATTATAACGCTTCGAACTTTTTTTGCAAGTGGGGAATTACACAACACTGTTGTCTTCATCATCAGTTAAAGTACTTTTGTTAGGCGGAGAGGCTCATAATGCTTCAACTATCTCCCAACTTAAATTTTAGGCCATCCATTTTGATTTTTTGAGGAATTTTATTTAATATTGCATCTTGTTTGCACAGAAACCAAGAATTTGCAACAGCTAAATCAATGTTTTGAATGTGCTAATAAAAAATAAAGTACAAAAAGAAAAAACAGGAAAGAACGTGGAAATTTAAATTTGATCAAGAGAAATAATTTTCAAAGCAAATTAAAGTGATTTAAAGCAGCAAGCTCCCGGGAATAAAACCCAGGACAATTCATTTCAAGTCGGCTTCTCTAACCACTAGACGACGAGGGCTTGTGGAACGATGTAAAGTAAGCTTTTAGGATGGGTAAGAAAAATGCGAGGGTAGCGAAGAGACTACACCACCCTCTCTCATTGGTCAAATCAAATAGCGCTCTTAAGTCACTTCCTGTTACCCACATCCGTCCCTTTTCACGAAATTACTCCGACAAATATCTAGCAATCGAGAGGATAGATGTTACACATAAAAAAATTATGCAAAATTAAGTCCTCAAATGCTATTCTGTGATATCCATTCATTGGTTTGGTTATTTGTAGGGAAAACTGTATATTATGTTTTTATAAATATTTGGTTGTTAGAAATTAAATTAACAAGTTAACTTATTTCAACTTAGTAATATAGACAAATGAAGGGGATGGTTAGCGCTTTGAAACTTCGTTCAATCCTGCAATCTTAGTCCTAAGCCAAAGTATTTACTATTCTATTTTGCCATATATTATCTATCTTAACTATTGTTTAAAAATAAGTTACATTTGCGTATCAATTTATTATATTATTAATGATCATATGTATATATGTTACTTATATAGCTACGAAGTACAAATACATAAAATTTGTTTTATGTAAATTAAAATTATACATCCAATAAAATGGTTATTATGTTTAAAAATAATTAATTTTTAAAAGTTGTATTTTAATCCAAAAAACCCCCACTCAACTGAACAGCACAGCACGTAAGCAACAGAATTTTACTTTTTCCACCAGCTCATTGATCTCAGACATCGCGAAAATCAAGCTGTTTGTACTGTATTGCTTATTTTTCTTCTTTGAAGATGTAGTATTTTTCTTCAAGAAGCGGCTGATTAACGGCATCTAAAACGATTCTGGCATTTGTTAAGCCAACCCAACCAGATAAACAGCGGGAGGATGTTTTCAAAGAACCCGCAGCATATATGATCAGGTTTTATTATTATCGAATTAGTTGAAAATATTTACACTCTTTATGCCACCAGCAGGATAAATGTTTATTTTTCTTTTATGTTAGTAGTCATAAATTATAGTTTTCCATGGAAGTAGGAATCTAGACAATTTGAAACTGAGTTCTTATAAATATTTTTATTAGAATAAACAGGAACTTGTATGATTGGCAATTTTTTTCTTTAAAAAACATAATATATCTTGTTATATATAATCTAGCCATTTTATATGTAATATTGTTACATCTAAAATCAAGTTTAATGCAAAAATTTCATTGAAAATAGCTAATTCCTAAATAGGAACCAAGCGAACCTCACAGCTCAGGTAATTATGCTTATATCCCCTTTTTTCAAATATATAGAACTAAAAGGATTGTTTTTCGAAATACCATATGAAAAGCAAGTGAATTTTTTACGATGGTTATGCCTTCATTTTTGAAGCTTGCATAACTCTGAAAATCAATATTTCAATCAATATATAAAACAAAATCAACAATCAATCAATAAATAAAATAACATCTTCGATCATTTCAAATTTACCATGCAAATCAAACATGATTTTTAGTGTCGTATTCTTTAAAAAGAAATCCCTTCGTCTAAGCAAACATAAAAAAAAATAAAATCATATTGTATCTAAATAAAATGCATGAAAAAATAGACTTGAATAGACTTTTGAGAAAAATGACGAGGATGTCTTGTGAGGTTTTGAAATTTCCCAGCATTTTCTTCGAAAATGCTAATAAACTATGTACTAACCGATCGGAAAAAATCATGAATATATATAATTGAATATTTTATTTTCTGACCTTTTGTAGATTTATCATTATTCATTCAATTCACAATGTCAAGAAAACACGTCTTTCTGAATACCAAAAGAGATTCAAAGGAATAATAAAATTTAAAAATCTAGAAATTTACAGATACAGATTTGAATTTTTTCTTAAAAAAAAAAATTATGTTTTTCTAATCTTACTTTTTCAATTTCATTTTTATATAAATATGAAGTTAAAATAATAAATAAATACCTAGGGTTATTCTTTTTAAGCTATGAAAGAGACGATAGCTTAGCTAAATCTCTGTTACTGGGAAATGGAACGTTAAGAGATGAAGAAAAGTCTAAAATGTCTATATATCTATGCAGAAGACAAAAATGACAATTTTATAGGGCCCCAAACTGTGCATGTATTGTATGAGACTGTTGTATTGTCATTTATTTTATCTATGCCAATTTTAAACCTCGATAAAGTTAGCTTTTGAAGGCACACCCAGAGGTTTGAGAATAAAGGAAAAGACTATTTTCTAAAAGACGTTATCTGAGAAACAAAAATGTTCTACATTAAATGCATCGACAAACACATCATTTCATCATCATTTTTGTTTTCATTGCTCGCTCATTACTCCTTGACATATAACACTGTATTTCTAGAAAAAGATTTCATTTTAAAAAATTATCATTCATTTATATTTCAGCCAACAAAAATGACATTTCATAAACTAATGACTAATTTAAACCAAAATATGCATTGAAATAAGTTTGCGTACGTGTGTGAATATATATACACAGAAGTAGATATATATAATTTATTTTTAAGATCTTGCTATAGTCTCTCCGTATAAAGTCGCATAGTATTTCTACAAAAAGTTTGGGATACATATAGAATAAAAGATATTAAGTGGACTGAAAACAACTATTTTTATTTTTATCGTGCTCTTGTGGCATATTTTTGACTGATTTAAAAAGTATCTTAACCCACTGAAGATGGTATATGCAGCAAAAATTATATAGCCTGAATAAAATCCAGTAACGTCTAATTTTGTTGTGAAATACGATTAAAAAAGTACTTTATATATTCCGCACTGGTGGGCATCTCTGGAAATAACATGGATACCTCTATCCGTCTCTAAGAGTTGAAAAATATACGTTACACATTCTAATTTTAAACCACTGTCAGAATTGATA